ACGACGGGACAGACGAAGGCTCGGCACAGAGTCGTCGGGGTCGTAGGACGGTGAGCCGAACTTTTCTTCGAACAGTTCAACAGACAAAAGTCCACGGCAACCACTCTCCTGCGGTTTTCGGTGAGGCCAAGCTACGAATCCTTTTGAGCCGCCTTTCAAACGAAATGAAAGGTATGCCAGTATCGAACTATTAAGGGATTCTTCGGAACCCAGCTTCTCTTCATAATCAAACCCAGTACGGTATCAAGCTACCTTGTTCAACCAAAAGTACACAAGGATATTTTGTGCCACAAACTCCTTTATCCAGTGACTGTTCTCCCCAGCTCTTGTATAGTTGTGACTCTTCGTCACAAAACCATGCTTTCTTCCACCGACAAAACACTCCGCCATCTTATTTGTTTTTCCGACACCGAATCCTCGCCTTTATCTTTTCTTGTTTTATAAAAGTGGCAATGCATGAATCATTTTCTTAATCGTCTGTACAAGGATGGAGTACTGTATAAAGTGGTGCGAAGCCTGAGTACTTATTAAAAGCTATCCATAACAGGGTACCTGCTATACTGGAGACACGGACTGCCTTACCGACGAGTTTGGTATGCATGAAGTTTTGTTCTGTGGAGCTGATAAAGTCAAGTCATAAGTGTGCAGAATTGCAGCGACAGTGGGAAACACACCCAATCCTGAATGCAGCATCGGACCATTTACTTGGGTACACTCCCATACAGCCGTACAAACTAGTATAGGATGGAGGAGAGCTACCTGAATAAATGTATAGAAAGTTAGCTTAAAGAATTTCCTTCACTTGCCATTTTGTCGAGTGGTAACTCAGTGAGATGCTGACGAAATGTGTGGGAATGTATCAAGACAACGGTCGGATGTAGGAGATTATCACGAATACGCGGCCAGATTGCAGCCAAACCCAAGGCTACACCATCTTGATTTTTCTATCTACGATCTCTCAGAGTGTGTTTTCACGCTTTGATGGCGTGAACACCGCATGAAGTCTTACTCTGGCTTGAATGATGGTGTGTAGAGGATGTATTTGCACAAGCCGACAGTCCCATTTCGGTCTTCAGTAGCGTCCATTTTGCGAATCATCTTAATCTGTCTCCACCTGATTCTCCACCTCGGAAGCGGAGTCTGGCACAAAGCCAAAGTTTACCGTAAAAACGGTGCATCAACTTTACAGCTCTAGCAAACCAAGTTATAATGTCATCGGTTGTGATCATGTTGTTACATTATGCACATATTTTTTTTCCATTTTAGCCGGTCTTTGAGGACATTCTACTCAAATCCTACGCAAACCCGTTCAACCTCATCTTCAACCAGAGCAACCTCGGCTTCTCCAAGGACCGAAATGGGGTGCACATGTGATCCACATGCGGGAAGTGCAGTCATGCAGATCTCTTTTCCTCTCTGTGCTCAAACACCCGAAGCCACGGCCTGACACATAAAGAGTCTTAAACATTACCAGTGCCATAGACACTCATTTGATACGGTATTGTCGCCTGACAACGAAGGATACGGTGATTTTATAATTTGATCATACAATTCTTATGTTCACCAACTCTGCGAGGACACAGGTATCCAGAAGTTTGGCAACTTGTACCATTCTTCTTGCATTTTTGGCG